CTTCATACTTACAGTAGCAATAGTGTCAATTCCATACAATATCAAATACCCTTTTTTAAAAAACGTTTTAAATATATTAGACTCTGATTGCCAAAATGCCAGTTTATACACAAAGCCGCTAATACCATGTACACTTCTTACATTATTTTTTTTTTTTTTTCACATAAAATACATGTCATCAAGTTTTATTTGTACATCACTGACTGCAGATCGCTGGGATCACGCGTTACCGCACAGGGCTTGCTGCCACCCGCGCGTGCAGCAGCACCAGGGCCACCGACTCTCCCGCAGCCTGTTCGCAAGCTGCAGTCTCACGGCTGACGGTGCTGAGGCTGCATCTGCACCAGTTACAACCCCGTATCTGTGTCCCGGCTGCGGGTGGAGATAATTGCATTGGGGTAGGGCTGGGAACAGGTATCTTGAGCAGTCTCCAACCATTGAAACTGCTTCCGCAGTTGAAATACAGCAAAATATCCCAGGTATATAACACTGCAGCAAGTGCTGCCTGAAGAACCCAGCGGTACTCGAGCTGGGGGGGAGGAACTGGGAAATCCATGACCAGTTTGGCCAACATGAGAACAGCAGAATAAAGCTGAGGAACAACCAGGGACCACAAGTTCTGTGGTACAGCCACCACAGGCAAACCAGAACTAACAATGTACATCTTAGCTGTGTTCTGTAGTAAGAGGGGAGACTGCTGCTACAAGTGCATTGTGGATTCTGCCTGCAGAGAACTGCTGTAACAAAGTAGGTCAATGTGACTTGTTGAATTAGAATGAAGACCCTGTGCATTTCATTTCTGTGTGTTAGGAAGAGAGAGGAGGTGATCATGAAAGAAACAGAAAAAGCAAATAAAGACTTCAAAATCTGGTATGCTCTGAACCGTTACCTGCAAAACAGTCTCCTTCTACAGTCACCACAAACCAAACCAAACCAAACCTTGGTAACTTCCAGTTACCAAGTCACCTTCAGCAAGTATGATAAGGCACAGAAATATCCAGACGTAGAGAGAACCCCTTTCCAGCAGATGGACACCAGTTCATCTATGGCTCACTGGAGACCAGTGCTTTTGCCTTTTTGGTTAAGGTATTCCTATTTCATGGTATTACTGATTTAACTTCAGCAGAGATTTGGGTACACAGAGCTCTGACATTAAAGCAAAAGGACACAGAACAGAAGCTGAAATGCCATTTGGGAGCTTGCAGCTGCTTCAACATCATGAACTAAGACCCTGCCCAATAAACCAGAGAACTCACCACCTCCACTGAGTATTGCAGCACTTATTCATTATTGCTATTGCCCTGCAATGCTCTTCTCCTTCCCTACCAGGCATTCCTCATCCACGTGGTTCTTCAACCACTGTCTTCAAGATAGTATAGAATGACATCATCTAGAGTCAGTTCTTCCCAAAACTGGGAGGGTTTGATGATTCTGGAGCACCACAGAAATGAGACCAAGTGGGCTAAAATCACATCACTTGGTATGTGAGATACAGAGCCAGGTCTGATGTCAAACGGACCCCAACCATGGTAGTTCAGCTCTTATTTAACATTCTGGGATTGGTTGAACTCAATAAAGTAGAAAAACTATTTTGAGAGACACCTTTTATTTTCCATCTAAACAAAGTCTTTCAACATGGAAACAAAGCTGCTGTCATCACCAATGAGCCTGCTAGAAAAAAAAGAGTGTGACTCCAGCATACAACAAGATTTTGCAAGAAAGGTTATTCTCATGTGCAGCTCTGCCTACAATAGACTCAGCAATACACCCAGATTCTCTAATCTTTGTGTATGAACAACTACAGCCCTTGGCTTACTGCTAACAGAAGTGGGACTCTGATCTGATCTTGAATCTAAGCACAACTTAGATGTTTATTGAGCCTAAAAACACAGAGCATAGCATAACTCTCTCCCCTTCCCTTCCTCCAATAAGCCAAGTGGGCTTAGCAGTCCTGGGGTAATAGTTGGACTTGATGTCTTAAAGGTCTTTTCCAACCTAGTTGATTCTATGACTCTATGTGCTAGATAAGTCAGTTGCAACATGATTTCTAGTTTCTACAGCTTTTTAGCAATGCTAAGATTGCATGAAACAGCCAAGTGCCTTGTGCTATGTACCTCAGAGCTTTCCACTGGGTCAGCCTTTAAAACACACAGATATTAAAAAAACTCTGTTGTTGTAACACTGCTAAATTTTATAATAAAAAGCCCTGTTCCCAGAGGTAGGCTCCTACAATGCACGTATCTACGTGTCTGTTATTCCCCCAAAAGCCTGTTTGTCTCTACAAAATAGTTCACCAAAAGCAGGTTAAATACCCACTTTACAGAATTGCTCATCCCGTACCTATGACCAACAGCTCTGCTTGTGGCACAAACTGCCAGCTCCTTCCCTGAGCGTATCTGCCAGTGCCCCACAGGCAGCGGCTGTTATATCCCAAATGTCACCAACACACAAGCATGAATCTGTACTAGGTCACTCTTCAACCGCCTTGCAGGTCCCACTCTGATGCAACTTCAACCCAAAGCCAGTGGTAAGTAAGTAGTTGGCATGGCTGTGAAACATACCCTGGAAGATTTATCCATTGCTGACTCCCTCATCCGAATAAGAATTGATGACATTTGATCAGCCACCACTAGACTTCAGTGAGCCCGTTAGCTCACAGTGGCAAAGCCAAAAGAGCTGTATTACAGCCAATTTTACAATTACAATACAAATTAGGGGGGATGTTTTGTAATCCAGAACCTGTAATGTCTTTTGCTTGACAGTAAATTAATTGTTGGTTTGCTCAAGATCACAGCTGGAGTGACTCAGACTTCAAAGAGTGAATTGTCAGCCTGGTAATAAACTCACAGGTCCAAAACAGTTTCCTGCACCTCTGCGGCCTCAAGGAACTGAGAATGAGGAGCCCAGAGCCCTGTATCACCACATATCCAGCCCCAGCAATGGGCTAGCTCGGCTGGGGAGCAGAGGGTAGCCCTTGACAGTCACTGGCAGCTTAAGTTGTCTTTGTATAGTCTAGAGGAAAGGCAAGGCTGTGAGGATTCCCACGTGTGAAGTGCAGTGTTGATGTCTAACAGCCGCCAGCTAGAGGGAAGATGGGTGGAAGCTGCATTTGCAGTTGCCTGGCTGAAGTACAACCATGTGAGCTGGATTTAATCCACTGATGTCTTAGAGAGACCCAAACAGGCATCTGTTTTCAGAGTTTGAAATTTAAACTGCTCAAGAACATATATATTCATGCAGGCAAACAGTTACGTGTGCAACAGCCCCTCTGTGCACAAAAAGGGTTGAAGATTTCAGTTACTTCTACAGATACAACTTGTTAAGACTCAACTGTGGCCAGTTCCTCAGAGCTGTGCCCTCCAGGGCACCCTCCTCTCATCTCCCCAGGTACGTAAAGACTTAACTTGCTGAAGAGCCAGTGCCGCCGCCGCAGGTCAGACCATGCTGGTGGCTCTCAGGCAGCCTGTCACAGCTCACATGAACTAAACTAAACCACCAGTGTTGGTGGGCCAACTGCTCCACAGCAGAAGCTTTGCTAAGAACTGCATGGTGCTAGACAAATCCCTTATGCAGAGCATTTAAGTCCTCTTCCGACAGCTATTAACCACTACTGATGACTTCAGAATGGGAGCTGGAAAACAGACCAAAAGAAAGAAATCTCCTGCCCTGCTGCAGTGTTCAACTACCAAAGCAATGCTTTAACAGGTATTTATCAGCCAAAGACTGCAGGTTAACGCAAGTGTTGTAACCCTAGGGAGATCAGAAATGCTTTCATGGTGCTTCTGGATTAGCATTACAAGCCTTTCCTCCTCATCCCTCCCAAGCCCTGTGGTTCTGGAAACCCAGAAGAAATCAGAACACAAAGCATACTGCCCCTAGTATCTGTGCTGAGTAAAGAGTAAACAAAAAGAATCAATAGGAATGTGAGATCAGCAAAAGTCTTTTCAGTTTTAAACAAATTAAGAGTCTAAATAGTACAAATAAGTTTAAATTACTTATCCCAATATAGACCTTTGTCAGTATTTTATTGCAGTAAAATTCTATTGCCAGGGCCCCTTATTGCAACATCAGTTTTAAAGCCTGTAGAGAGAAGCCTGTTCAGGAAGAGTCTGCTTCAAACCTGATGGCAGTCTGCAGTGACGACTGTACATGAGCAGAATGGGACCCAGCCAGTGCACAGTTTTTGTTGGTGAGCTGTCACTGCAAGGAGATAGCACCTTGCAAACTTCCTAAAGCAAGTGCAGCAGTGATGCTTGCTCATTGCTCAGGCTGTAAGTGCTGGATCCAGCTGTACAAAACACAGCTCTGTCCATTCTTGCAAACCCGTGCTGGGGTTGATCTCCCCTCCAGGATATATATGCACCACCCAGGAGTGAACATTCAGGTCTGATCTGTCACCTTCCTTGGTGATTTACAGCAAGAGGCTCCGATGCAAAGATTTTAATTCAGATCCTTTCTTTGTTCCAAGGCATCTCATGACTTCCCAAGGACAGGGAGGCAGTGCACCATACCTTCTTCCCCAGGGAGGAAGACTAGGGCAACTCTTTTTACATCATATCAATGCCCATCCCTTCCTCTCCTAAAAGCCTTGCACCACCTGCATTACTCATTCAACTGCAATGAAAGTAATTGGCAGGGTAAAGTACAATTCAAGATGAACGAGGCTGCCAGAGTCAGGATGTCCATAACCAAACTCTCCCTTTGCAATGCAAACAGCCTGGCCTCTGCGATAGATCCAACCAGCCTGCCCACATCTTGTTTCCTCTGGGGTGAGAAACAGAAGAGACTAGGAAATCCTGCAGCACCCATGCACCTTCTCTTCCATTTCCTCCATGGGAGCTTTGAATTTCAAGAGGGGTGGATCACCACTGGACACTGTGTAATACACTGAGGTCCCATTGGAGCTGTAGGGAGAAGTCCTGGATTCGATTAGGTGCGACTTGGCTTCACCCACATTCTCGGCAACACCTCCCATGCCACTGCCAAAGTGGGTGCTGAGGAAAGGGTGGTTGAGGAGCTTGGCTGCAGCCCGCTGCCGCTTCAGTTCAGACAGCGTTTGATGGTTGTGCTCCTTGTAGGCACCCCAGAACTGCTCCGTGTCAGGGAGCCCAGGGTTGCCGTAGGGCAGCAAGTGGCCTGGATTGCCCTCAGGGTCAGCGTGCATACTCCAAATGTCCCCATTGGAAAAGGTGTACTGGTAAGTGCTGGCGGATGCCATGAGTCCGTTCTGGAGGGGGATTTCAGAGTCACACTGCGTGCTTTTGTTTGCTAACTCCGGAAGGAGGGAAGAGTTCTCCAGCAGTGAATTCTGTAACAAGAAGACATGAAAGAGCATCTTCTGCCGTCCCCCATAGCACAGTTCATCCCTGTGACAACTTCCTAAGCCTGCTCACACTCAGCCTTTCCATCAGACAGGTACTGCAGCACAGATGTTGAATTCACCCACTTAACAGGACCCTGTAATACTGCGAGCCCCAACCAGGAGCTGCTTCCCCACCAGTAACATGGACCATTAACTCAGAAGGACTCCAAAAAAAAACCAAATACAGTTAAATAAACATATTAATTAACATGACATAACCGAATTCAACAAATAACTGCAAAACAAGGTTACAATTCTTTCATGATTACCAGTTTGTTACCTGTAACAAGAAATGCACACGGTATTTCTTCTGAACTTCCAGGTTCACTAGGGCCTTATCTCAAAACCAGGCAGCTGTAAATCCAACACCATCTCTCCACTTTTAATGGGATATGCCACTTCATACCACATGAGAATTGGGTCTTTTGCTTACATCTGATGGATGAGGTTTACAAATTTTTCAGCTGCCTTCAATCCCAGGGCACCCACTGCTACTGAACCTCTGCTCCCAGCCCTCCTTGGTGACTCCCAGAATAGAGAAGAGATTCCTTACAGGGTCTGTATTCTCCTGGTCAGACCGAGTCTCCCCGATTTCTCCAATGAGACCCGAGTTTCTTCCTTCTTCTGCTGCACCCAATTGCTGCCAGACAATGGCCTCTTTCTCACATTCCTTCCTGTAAAGGTTTGTTCGGTCCGAAAGGCTGGCCCTCCTCACCACCTTCCTGTGGGACAGGGGAAAGGGGCACCAAAGCTGTGAGCAGGACATGACAGTTCCTCTTACCCCATAGCTCTTCACACCTCCTCCTCATGCTTCACAGCCTCTCTCACTGAAATGGAAGGTGAAGTTAGCTTCCTGGCACCCACGCAAAGCAAAGGCACTGGTGTGGATATTAAAGGTGGGAGGAGTTTTAAGGAGTTCTAAAGTAGTAACTGCAAATCTGTGCTAGATCTCAGACAGCTCACCCAGTGGATCTACTCTGCAACCAGTGGAGGAAGTGTAGAGGGAAACAGGACACGGGTGCTTTAGGGAGCCTGTGGTCTGCAGGACTGCTTTGGTGTCTAGTAAACATCTTGTAAAAACCTGTATCTGAGCACAGTATCTTGGCCATGAGACGTATTACTGAGAAGCTCAAGTTAATCCACGTGAAGCACTGATTCTCCTACACCAGTATCAGTGGTTTAACAGGGTAAATTCTCACCACTTGCTCCTCTGCTTGGAACAGTTCTTAAACCACAACAGTGCAAAGCAATTTTACCCCCAAAATATAACACCTCTTTCTAGTGAAGGAGTCACCCTTCAAAGGAGCTCTGCTTTCAGCAACCGAAGTCAGCTTCTGCCTTTCAGAGTTCATCAGGAAGGACAGACAAGTTGTTCTCACCGACCCCAGGGTGTTCTGCAACCACGTCTGGGTGGCCAAGCTACTGCCCTGGGTACCCTGTGGGGAACAACACACTCACCCCCGGCTGCCGGTGCTGGATGTCCTTCGACTCAGGGAGGATTTATGCCTCATCTGAGACTTCATGATCACATCGTGTTTGTGTTTCAGCTCCAGAAGTAATACTTTGAATTCCTCCTCTTCACACAGATCTATGGCACACACAAACCAAGCTGTTAATGAGACAGTTCAAATGTGGTACCATTAACACCGTCTGTCTTCCTAGTATATACAACTACAAATGCTAGAAGGAAGAGAAGGGAAATATAAGCAGAATACGCTTAAGTACATTAATCTCTAAACAAATTAGGTGAGGCAGAATGGTGTAGACACTTTAAAAGGAGCAGAAAACAAGAGCTGCTGACTGTGACAGGGGCTCAGCTTTGCAATGATCCAGCTATTCAGCTGAGTTTTGTCCCATTCCTACAGGATGTTGTGCCTTTACCCAGGAAACATGAGAGTTCACCACTGCACCAATGATTCAGGATGGGAGTAAAAGAAATTTCTGTAATTACCAGAGTGCAGCTCCACTGAATACAGCATTTTTTACTTAAGCTCCAAAGCAACAAAAAAACCCCTAAAGCAGAGCAGGGCAGAAGACAAGAACTTCCAACCTTCCAAATGGGATGCACAGATTTTGCAATCAAGGCTCAAAAAGCAAAAATGGCACAAGGTTATAATACACATGGCCAGATGCTACCATTTGTACTTCCAATCTGTTCCAACACTTGTGTGTGCTTTCCCTGTCCTCTCGAACCCCGCAGAGCTTACCACACTTCACTGCACCAAGGCAAAGATACCCAAGTCTGAAGGCTGCACCAACTGCTGCTCAGATCAAAGACTGCAATGGAAGAGCAGGGATACTCCCCAGCACAGGTACAGAGGGATAACACAAGTGGAAACACACCGGAAAAAAACTTAGTGCTTGAGGAAGGCATTCTCTTTTGGGTTTGTGAGCAGAAAGAAGCATTTTCAGAAGGAACAGAGTAGGTGCTTTAAAACTTTGGTCCCAGTTAAAGTAACAGCAACTTTGATTCTAAAGGCACCTGGAAAATGACATTAATGCTTCTGAAAGCACCATGTAAGGACTCAGCCCGCGCAGGGGGAAAAGGTCTTTTTTTGTCTTTTTTTTTTAAGCGTAATAAACTCACCTATTGGCATCTCATCCAAAGATGTCCTGGCACTCAAACTAGCCCCATGGGACACAAGCAACTCGGCCATTTGCATCTGAAGGAAGGGAAAGAAAGACAAGCTGATAGAGGTATTTTAGGCAATCGCTTTCTTCCTCAAAGCTGAAAAGTTGGAATAAGATGAAAAGCAATGGCCTGCATTGCTCAACTCGCCTCACGTTATGCTGGTACATGTGTGATGCTAAACATTGCTCCTACCACTCAACTGCATGGACATACTTCCCCTGAACTTTCTCAGCAGCAGGTTCTTTTTGGAACCCCAAGGACCTCATCTGATGCTGTCCAGAGAGTCCAGCCCTACTACAGATTTCTTCTATGCGCAGAGTACTTTATAGCTTGCCCAGGCAAAAAGAAATGTCACCCTCATACAGGACATTTGCCACAAAATCATTACCTGTCCCCAGAAAGCAGCAGCATGAAGAGGTTCCCAGCCGTCCCAGTCCTTAATATCCAGGCTTGCCCCCTGGTCAAGGAGGACTTCAGCTGCATGCAGATAACCATTGGCTGCAGCTATATGCAGCTAGGAGATAAGGAACAGAGCATGAACCACCTGCAAGGACCACGAATGGTTTTATACACCAAGTTTCAGTGGAATTTCTTGGATGATGTCTGAGTCTAGGTCTGGACAGGCAGCGCATTCCACGTTTGGTAGATGCCATCAGGTCAAAAGCAGGTTGTTCCTATTACTAAAACTCAGTATTACATGCATGTAACTCTGTCTGGAGAGGAAACTGCTTCACACTTCTTAAAACAACTTACATATACAGGTTAGAAAAGAATGTCTTCGCATTTTAAACATGGGCTTTTAGGTGCTGCCCAATCTGTAGGGAAACCATTAAAATGCAAGCCTGCAATGGGGAACATCATCCACTGTAACCTGCATTTCTCATCTCAGAAGAATGTCTCCTCTTCCCCATTTAAGTGCCATAGATGTCTTTTTTTTTTTGATCCCATTTTCACCCTGCTTTGGTCAGAATTCCCTTCGTGCAATTGCGCTTCCACTCATGCTATAATTATTTTCACCATTTCAAAACCAAAACCATTTTAATCCTTGCCTACTTCTAGTTAATGGAATATGATTTTTCAGATAGTGGCTTCCAACTACAACCACCACTTTGGAGACACCAATAATAGACTCCGTTAGTCCCCCACAACACTTTGTGTCTCTGATGGTTTTCATAACTGTGGTCTGCTGTTGCATCTCTGAGCAAAACACTAAGCTAGGCTCTGCTCTGAACTCCAGCCAGTGCTCATCCTGTTTGAGCTGTGCTGAAGAGGAGAATGAAAGCTTCTTCTCAAGAATTCCCATGTGGATTCCACCACACAAAGCTGAACCCCCACGTGGAAATAAACTGTAATGCTTTTGGGCAACTCAGTTAATTTCTACATAAATTTTATAGCACTGGGTCATACCCTCTAGAGGCCACGTGAATTAACAAGGAATCATTTGGGGGTGGTATAAAAAGGGAAGACAAGAGGTCTGCTTAAAATTATATATAGAATCCTTGTTGAAGGGATGTTAAAAAATAAGCTGCAATAAAAGCTCCAGTCATCCAAGTTTATCATGCAGTGAGCCTGCCCCCCACTTACACTTCTGGTATATGCTATAGGTGACAATTTAGATTAAGAAACCTGAATGCACTGCCATGGTCTGACCATCAAGCAGATGTTCACATGTGGTCTGTATATCAGTTATGTCTGCACCCAAGCATCAAAAGACCAAGGTATGAAAGGCATGAAACTCCCAACACGTATGACAGCATTACTGAACTCTGCCTGGGTTGGGCCTTCTATAAGCAAGGATTTAAGAGACACTTTCAGCTGCAAAAGGAGGGAACAGGACCGGGATTGTTCTGCATTCCTGGTCCCTGGATGACTGCACCCAGTCAAATCAGATGCCAGTCTGCTTTGTGCTGTACATTTGCCCGGTTGCTCTCCTCTGCTCAGGGGCAGGTGCCATCCTACATGAATACACATCGTAGTGCATCGACTATGTATGAGCCAGATGCTGTGTAAAGCAGAAGAGGCAGAAAGTCTTCAGATTGCCCAACACCAGATCCTGCTCTCATGAAAACCTAAGGACTCACGTCTGCTCCACAGGAGTCAGATCAGACTATGTGACTCATGAGAAGCAAGAGGTTACCGGGATGTCTTTCAGTCCCATCTCCCCATGGGCTAAGTACAAGTGCTGCAGTCTGCAACTCCTCACTGTGGGACTTCTTGCACCTTTCTTTGGAAGCTGCTATCAGCCACTGTCAGACAGGACCCTCGCTGCAGGAGCTGAGCTGCTGGATGACTGACAGAGCTCACATAAACAAGGGATTTGCTTCAAAAAGCGCAGCGTTAGACACTAAGTTATGCCAGCTGTACTCATGGACGGAGCTACATGACAATAAACTAAAGCATGGACCAAGATCCAAATAGCTTCCTCACTCCTCTCAGTGACCTGCACATGTTCATTTTGTGTAACTCCTGCCACAGGGCAGGTTTCATAACCTCCAGGCTGAAGGAAGGCAAAACTGAGGGCGCCGGAGTTTCACTCACCAGCGTGGCACCTTGGGCATCAGTCCTGTTCAGGTCCTGTCCCGTCGCAAGTATGTCATGAATGTCACAGATCATGACCTGCTCCGGAGCAGCCCGCATCTCATTGATTCTTTCCTGAGTAATCCCTGTTAAAATTCCAGTTAGAGAGAGGAGAGTTGGAAAGGTCTGTCTCTGTGCTGCTTGAGTGGAATTACTTATGATTCCTGGTTGACGTGACCTCACATCCCTTTAGAGGCTGTGTAGTGAGGGGACTGTCCGCTGTCCTTCACCCTCATCGTTATTTAGGAATTAGAGGAACTAAACAGAATCAGGCTTAAGAAATTATGCCAGGCAGCAGCTCCCTGCTTTTCTCCAGAGGCAAATCATGAGCTGAGAAACAAGGTAATTTTTAGTACTACATTGACCCAGTTTTGTGTTTTACATGAACTCAGTCTCCTTACCTTGGTAGGCCATGCAAGTCTCAATGACATCCAGAGTTGGCTCATCTTCACAGAGGTCATACGGCATATTGCCATCAGCATTCACTGCCAACAAGTCTGCTCCACTGCAAGGACAAAACTGAGTCACACAAGAAAGGACCTCAGACATCCTAGAGCAGACAGTACCGAACACTGGGATAAATGCTTAGGAAAAACTAACTGGGTTTTAATAGTTGCCCAAATGTCACAAAGATACATATGAGATAAGAAAGGTTTGAAGTAAAACCATGGAGCTATGAATGGGGAAGATAAAGTCCAGATGTGAATGAAAGGCAGCATGCTACAACCTCCTTCATGGCTGTTGGGCACACGAGCAACTGAGCCATTCCTGTCTTCTCATGACCCTGGCACTGGACAGACTGGCAGCTTCTCAGTGACAGAGTGATTTATTTATTGAATTCATGGATAACAGTATCAAGCAACTACCAGGTGCTTGTTATCTGGCATCGGGCAGTCCTGCAGTGAAAAGTTCACAAGGACGAGAAAAGTTGGGAAAGATCCACTTCAGTGAGACCCCCCC